TTCTACAGTATGGGTATAAGTACAGTGGACCCTTGGCTATCGTAATTAATCCGATCCAGAGCGTGTGACTAAAGCCAAATTTGACGATTTTCAAACTCATTTTAACCATAAGAAATAATGTAAATCCAATTACTGTAATCTTTTCCAGACACCCAAAAGTATTAAAAAAATAAATTTTTTTTACACGAAATATACATTTACCTACACAGAATTGAGGCACAATTTTATGTAACACGTCGTAAAATTAAATTTAACATGGTTCAGTTTGTGGGAAAGGAAAAAACTTCCCTTTTCCTCAAGTGGCTGCCTTGTTGTGGATCACGAGGGAGGCCTCCTGCCATCCCCAGCCACCCCTTGACACCACCCCACCATCCCAGCATACGTACTTCATGTGTGTCCAGTCCAACTTTTCTGCTACCAGTTCGTGATTGTGAATTGTGTTTTGATCTTTTAATTACTATATATTGTATCTGCCAAGCAATCATGACACCCAGTAGGTATACCAGTGTTGCTCGAAGAAAATGTATAAGCATTTAAGAAAGAATTAATGAATTAAACAAAGATATTAGTCGGAGAGGAGACGGTTGGAGGCAGTGGAGATGTCCTGTTTAAGGGCAATGTGTGATGTAAATATTATGCAGAAAATTCGGAGTGTGGAAATTAGGAGAAGGTGTGGAGAATAATAAAAGTATTGTCAGAGGGAAAAGAGGGTTTTTTGGGAGGTGGTTTGGTCATTTAGAGAGAATGGATTCAAAGTGAATGACATGGAAAGCATTAATCTATAGGGGAAGGAGGCGGGGGTGGGTCGTCCTCGAAAGGGTTGGAGGAGGGGTAAGGAGGTTTTTGGGTAAGGGCTTGGATTCACAAGCGGCGTGAGCGTGTTAGTAGGAGTGAATGGAGACGAAGGGGAACTGGGAGGTGGTTGTTGGGGTGTGAGCAGGGTAATATTTAGTGAAGAGAAATATTTAGTGCAGCATTGTACTTCCCATTCCGGGACTCAAGTCCGACTTTTTTGAAAATAACCGTTTCCTGAATTTTTTTTTTTTTTTTTAATTCAGGGAAACGGTTATTTTCATACGTCGGACTGAGTCTGGGAAATGGGAAGTACAATCCCTTTGCACTTTAAAGGGGGTTTGGGATGTTGGCAGTTTGGAGGGATAAGGGTTGTGATTTTATATGGTATGCTTCTAGACTTTTGTATTCTGAAGCACCTCTGAAAAACAGTGATAATGTGGAGTGTGGTGAAAGTGTTGAATGATGATGAAAGTATTTTCTTTTGGGGGAATTTTCTTTCTTTTTTGGGTCACCCTGCCTCGGTGGGAGACGGCCGACTTGTTGAAAAAAAAAAAAAAAAAAAAAAAAAAAAAATTAGTCGGACTTGAGTCCTGGAAATGGGAAGTACAATGGCTGCACTTTAAAGGAGGGGTTTGGGATATTGGCAGTTTGGAGGGATATGTTGTGTATCTTTATATGTGTATGCTTCTAAACTGTTGTATTCTGAGCACCTCTGCAAAAACAGTGATAATGTGCGAGTGTGGTGAAAGTGTTGAATGATGATGAAAGTATTTTCTTTTTGGGGATTTTCTTTCTTTTTCGGGTCACCCTGCCTTGGTGGGAGACGGCCGACTTGTTAAAAAAAAAAAGTAGACAAGACATAACCTGTGGCCATAATGAAGTGTTACTTTGTACACATAAAAAGAGGTAAACATAAGTTTGTGTGACTGACTGACCTACTGACTGACTTACCGAATGACTTGACTGACTGAATGGCTTAAAGTTAGACACTCCAGTACAACCATCGACTTCAGTACCAGAACCTTTACCACCCACCTCAGCCCAGTAGGGCCACAGCATAACTTTCCACACTTCACAATCATCCACAAACACCAGCACCCACAATTTAAGGTAAGAAATACACCTATCATCCGACTTACGACCTGCTCGACATACGTCCACTCGACTTACAACCGTGCATCTGGTAGCTGGGCTGATGCACACCACTGTACAATATTTGACAATACTCGCGGGGGCAATGTGTCATGCAGGCGGCATCAGTTTGTTTTCACTGTTGCACATAAACCTGTCTGTATCTGTCTGCCTGTATATCTGTCTGTATCTCTGTGTCTGTCTACTAGTGTGTCTGTCTTTCTGTCTTTGTCTGCTTGTCTGTCTCAGAGCCACTCATTAAGAGTGTACCTGGTCTTGAAGATGTTATGTTAATAATGATAATAACAATAATAATCACTGAGGCGCATTAAATGTGTATAAAACGTTAATATAGACATTTTGCTTAATCCATCTATGATTTTTTTCAAAAGTATATAATAAACATGCTACATAACATATAAATTAACAAATATGAGATGTTTTTCTGGTCGGCTTGACAGTGAACAGGAACCGTTCGTGTCAGGGCTGGAAAACAACAACAACAACGTTTGTTTACATAACTTTTGTGAACATTCTACATTCTCTTTCTCTCTCATTTATTCATTTTAATTTGTTTACTCCCCTCTCACTCTACATTAAAACTACAGATATTTTAAAGGTAAGTAATTGAGTGGACACGATTATTATATTATAGTTTAAATTTATAATAATAAATTAGTACATATGTATTATTGTAATAATAATGATTATTAATATTATTATTAATTTAGGGCACTGGAGCACAGATCCACTGTATAGCACTTTGTCTGGATTTTTTGGGTTATCCTGGGTTTAATTTATAATTGAAATGAAAACTTGACTTACATATATCAGTGAGGAGAGTGAGAGAGAGAGTGAAAAGAGAGAGAGTGAGAGAGTGAGAGAGAGAGGGGATACAGAGAGAGGGGATACGAGAGAGAGATACAGAGAGAGGAGATACAGAGAGAGAGAGATACAGAGAGATACAGAGAGAGAGATACAGAGAGAGAGATACAGAGAGAGAGATACAGAGAGAGATACAGAGAGAAAAATACAGAGAGAGAAATACAGAGAGAAAAATTTACAGAGAGGAAATTTACAGAGAGAGAAATACAGAGAGAGAAATACAGAGAGAGAAATACAGAGAGAGAAATACAGAGAGACAGCCACATTCGGTCAGCCAGTCAGCCAACTACCCGCCCATCCACCCACTCAGCCAGCCACCCACCCACCCATCCATCCATCCAGCCACCCATCCATCCATCCATCCAGCCACCCATCCATCCAGCCACCTGGCCACCCACCCATCCGGCCAACCACAGACCCGGCCACCCAGCCAGCCAGCGGGATACGTATTACACATGTTAAAGAGTTGTTTCTCTTTACTTAGGGTATAGGTTATACAACATTCTGGCAGGATGACGCTACCTGTGGTATTCTCCCATTCCACTGTGTCGACAATACATAAAGATAATAGAATCATAGAATTGATGAGGGAAAAAGAGTGAGTGGTGCACTTAGGAGTCTGTGGAGACAAAGAACTTTGTCCTTGGAGGCAAAGAGGGGAATGTATGAGAGTATAGTTTTACCAACGCTCTTATATGGGTGTGAAGCATGGGTGATGAATGTTGCAGCAAGGAGAAGGCTGGAGGCAGTGGAGATGTCATGTCTGAGGGCAATGTGTGGTGTGAATATAATGCAGAGAATTCGTAGTTTGGAAGTTAGGAGGAGGTGCGGGATTACCAAAACTGTTGTCCAGAGGGCTGAGGAAGGGTTGTTGAGGTGGTTCGGACATGTAGAGAGAATGGAGGGGAAACAGAATGACTTCGAGAGTGTATCGTCTGTAGTGGAAGGAAGGCGGGGTAGGGGGTTTCGGCCTAGGAAAGGTTGGAGAGAGGGGTAAAGGAGGTTTTGTGTGCGAGGGGCTTGGACTTCCAGCAGGTATGCGTGAGCGTGTTTGATAGGTGTGAATGGAGACAAAGGGTTTTTAATACTTGACGTGCTGTTGGAGTGTGAGCAAAGTAACATTTATGAAGGGGTTCAGGGAAACCGGCAGGCCGGACTTGAGTCCTGGAGATGGGAAGTACAGTGCCTGCACTCTGAAGGAGGGGTGTTAATGTTGCAGTTTAAAAACTGTAGTGTAAAGCACCCTTCTGGCAAGACAGTGATGGAGTGAATGATGGTGAAAGTTTTTCTTTTTCGGGCCACCCTGCCTTGGTGGGAATTGGCCAGTGTGATAATAATAAATAAAAAATAGTAACATGATACTGTATGCGATGTAAAATTTACAATACATATCACTACCATGTATACATTATATACAGTACATAAATAATTAAAATACAACAACAGAAGTAAATTATGGTAAAAAGAATGAAATAATGATTGTATATTACATTACAGTATTATGTAGGTAGTTTATATAGGAAAGTTTTGACATTATGCCCTACCCAATATGTCGGCAATTTTCAAAGGTTCGACTTACGTCCATTACTGGTAACTTACCATAAAAACCATACACTTGTGTAATTTGTCGTGATTCATGGTTCCCTCTTAGAAGAGTTATCTTGTGCGGCCATTTTGCCTTAAGGGAGAGTAGCCGGGTGAGTGTTTCTAAACTATAGTAACTTACGACCGGTTGGTCGGAACCAAGCTTGGTCGTAAGTCGGATGGTAGGTGTACTATTATTTCTGTTACATTTGTAATCTTAAGCAGTAAAAACAACATAATACATCACAACAATGAACTACAATTACATATTCACTTTTATTTTTGTAAGATGTGGAGGCCTAAAAAAAAGTTGTTTGGCTTTTTTGGGGCTCTCAGGAATGTAGCCCTATTTTTCCCACAAGTTCTTCAGTTCATTAACACTGTTTTACCTAACATGCCATTTTCAGGAACATAACTATCCTGTTAAATGATGGTCTACTGTATTACAAAATCCGACGACTAGGATATCCGGGGGTCCACTGTACGGGTATATCAAGATTCACAAAGAATTTTGCAAGTTGGCTTACATCAAAGTCCTCTGAAATAAATTACATGGATTACAAAAGCATACAGAGGAAAGGGGCTGTCAAGCATATTTTACCCACCTGTTTCTTCTTTACACAAGATGGAACATATGCTGCAAACTTAACAAGAGCAGCAAGGCAATCTCTTTGCCGAGCTGATAATGATGTAAGGAGGGCACGATTGGCATTACGCTGTGTCTCTTCCAATGTGTGGATAGTGTACGCCGCACTGTCCCACACCATTAAGGGAATACGTCTACTTGATGCATTGGGATTCACTCCTAAGCCATTCTGTTTGTAATTAAAAAAATAAATTAAAAATATATGCAATATTTTAAAACTAAATGTGTTGGAAAGGATACTCACATATAAGTGATAATTCAATTTACTAATTATTCTTACGTATTACTGTATTATTAATTTTAACACACCTGCTGTTTCCCCCACACAACGTAAGGTGACCAAAAGGAGGAAACACATTTCACCATTACTGATTCTCTGGTTGTCTTTCCAGAAATTTACAGATATCATAATTCAAATAACCCACAGAACTGCAACATCCTCACCCATCCTTCTGAGTCCATGCACTATACTTCTACCTCCAGAACTCTAGTTCACTCCAACAGCATGTCAATACCAGAAACTACTTCTCTTCACTCACACCAATATAACATGCTCACACCTGCCTTTTGAATGGTCAAGTTACAACCACTTAAAAAACTTGACACTTTCCTTCAAACAACTTCCGAGGATATCCCATACAACTCTTTCCATCAACACCAGCTTTAAATATCCTCAAGTCAACCTACCTTTCTCCATCCTTTCTAAATGACCAAACCATTTCAACAAACCCTCCTTTGGTCTCTGAATTACACCCTTCATACCACTTAATCATCTTATAATTTCTTCACTCCTTATTCTTTGCAAAACCCTCACACAACTGATCTTTAGCACGACATTACCAATACTGCCTATAATCTCCTCCGCTCAGTAGTAGTGAAAAGTCTATCACCCAGGTAAGTGTTGGCACAACTAGAATCTGCTACATACCCCTTTCTTACCATCAACTGATAAACAGTTTTCTTTCTGCAGATTCAAGATGCCATCTACCTCCCCTCATGATTGACCCCCTTTTTTTTACCATATACTACCCCATATTTATACACCCTCTTGGTCATTACATTCTGCTCCATCCTCTTTAAATTCCTAAAATATACCTACAATCCCCACCTGAATGCTAAAGTAGGAGAAACTTTTAGAGAGGGTGTGGTAGGTAAGTTTGGGGTGCCAGGTGTAAATGATAATGGGAGCCCTTTGATTGAACTTTGTATAGAAAGGGGTTTAGTTATAGGTAATACATATTTTAAGAAAAGAGGATAAATAAGTATACAAGATATGATGTAGGGCGAAATGACAGTATTTTGTTGGATTATGTATTGGTAGATAAAAGACTGTTGAGTAGACTTCAGGATGTACATGTTTATAGAGGGGCCACAAATATATCAGATCACTTTCTAGTTGTGCTACATGAGAGTAAAAGGTAGATGGGATACAAGGAGAATAGAAGCATCAGGGAAGAGAGAGGTGAAAGGGTTTTTAAACTAAAAGAGGAGGCAGTTAGGGTAAGATATAAACAGCTATTGGAGGATAGATGGGTAATGAGAGCATAGGCAATGGGGTCGAAGAGGTATGGGGTAGGTTTAAAAATGTAGTGTTAGAGTGTTCAGCAGAAGTTTGTGGTTACAGGTAAGTGGGTGCAGGAGGGGAAGGGGGAAGCGATTGGTGGAATGTGATGTAAAGAGAGTAGTAAGGGAGAAAAAGTTAACATATGAGAAAGTTTTTACAAAGTAGAAGTGATGCAAGGAGGGAAGAGTATATGGAGAAAAAGAGAGAGGTTAAGAGAGTGGTGAAGCAATGTAAAAGAGAGCAAATGAGAGAGTGGGTGAGATGTTATCAACAAATTTTGTTGAAAATAAGAAAAAGTTTTGGAGTGAGATTAACAAGTTAAGAAAGCTAGAGAACAAATGGATTTGTCAGTTAAAAATACGAGAGGAGAGTTATTAAATGGAGAGTTAGAGGTAAATTGGGAAGATGGAGGGAATATTTTGAGGAATTGTTAAATGTTGATGAAGATAGGGAAGCTGTTTATTTCGTGTTTTTAGGGCAAGGAGGAATAACATCTTGTAGGAGTGAGGAAGAGCCCGTTGTGAGTGTGGGGGAAGTTCGTGAGGCAGTAGGTAAAATGAAAGGGGGTAAGGCAGCTGGGATTGATGGTATAAAGATAGAAATGTTAAAAGCAGGTGGGGATATATTTTTGGAGTGGTTGGTGCAATTATTTAATAAATGTATGGAAGAGGGTAAGGTACCTAGGAATTGGCAGGAGCATGCATAGTTCCTTTGTATAAAGGCAAAGGGGATAAAAGAGAGTGCAAAAAATTATGGGGGGATAAGTCTGTTGAGTATACCTGGTAAAGTGTATGGTAGAGTTATAATTGATAAGAATTAAGAGTAAGACGGAGAATAGGATAGCAGATGAACAAGGAGGTTTTAGGAAAGGTGGGGGGTGTGTGGACCAGGTGTTTACAGTGAAACATATAAGTGACAGTTTTTTTAGATAAGGCTAAAGAGGTCTTTGTGGCATTTATGGATTTGGAAAAGGCTATGACAGGTGGTTAGGGGGGCAATGTGGCAGATGTTGCAAGTGTATGATGTAGGAGGGAGGTTACTGAAAGCAGTGAAGAGTTTTTACGAGGATAATGAGGCTCAAGTTAGAGTATGTAGGAAAGAGGGAAATTTTTTCCCAGTAAAGTAGGCCTTAGACAAGGATGTGTGATGTCACCATGGTTGTTTAATATTTTTTAGAGGGGGTTTGTAAGAGAAAGTAAAATGCGAGGGTCTTGGCAGAGGCGTGGAGTTAAAAGATAAAGAATCACACACAAAGTGGGAGTTGTCACACCCTGCTCTTTGCTGATGACACTGTGCTCTTGGGAGATTCTGAAGAGAAGTTGCAGAGATTGGTGGATGAATTGGTAGGTGTGAAAAAAGAAGAAAATTAAAGGTGAATACGGGGAAAGAGTAAGGTTATGAGGATAACAAAAGATTAGGTGATGAAAGATTTTAATATCAGATTGGAGGGAGAGAGTATGGAGGAGGTGAACGTATTCAGATATTTGGGAGTGGACGTGTCAGCGGATGGGTCTATGAAAGATGAGGTGAATCATAGAATTGATGAGGGGAAAAAGAGTGAGTGGTGCACTTAGGAGTCTGTGGAGAAAAAGAACTTTGTCCTTGGGGGCAAAGAGGGGAATGTATGAGAGTATGTTTTACCAACGCTCTTATATGGGTGTGAAGCGTGGGTGATGAATGTTGCGCGAGGAGAAGGCTGGAGGCAGTGGAGATGTCATGTCTGAGGGCAATGTGTGGTGTGAATATAATGCAGAGAATTCGTAATTTGGAAGTTAGGAGGAGGTGCAGGGATTACCAAAACTGTTGTCCACAGGGCTGAGGAAGGGTTTTTAATACTTGACGTGCTGTTGGAGTGTGAGCAAAGTAACATTTATGAAGGGATTCAGGGAAACCGGCAGGCCGGACTTGAGTCCTGGAGATGGGAAGTACAGTGCCTGCACTCTGAAGGAGGGGTGTTAATGTTGCAGTTTAAAAACTGTAGTGTAAAGCACCCTTCTGGCAAGACAGTGATGGAGTGAATGATGGTGAAAGTTTTTCTTTTTCGGGCCACCCTGCCTTGGTGGGAATCGGCCAGTGTGATAATAAAAAAAAAAAATCCCCACCCCCCATCTGCTTCCTGAATTATCTCTTTTGTAACCCCACACCATTTTTTTTAATTTCTATGCTCAAAATTTTCTGCACAATGCTGCACTCCCACCACACTTTGTTCTCAAACATGACAACTCCACTGCCTGCAGCATCCACCCCATAGCAACACTGAAAGCCCGTACCTGGTACCACTATACTCCATACACTCCTGTTCTCCCTCCATACATCAATTTTCTATGGGTTTTAAGAACACATCTGAGAAACTGAGTAATGACTGAATGTCATGTATGTACCTTCATACATTCATCCCCTCTTCCCCCTTCTGTCACTAATATGTTTTCTTTTTTTCAACACGCTAGCTGTCTCCCACCAAGGCAAGGGTGACACACGTGCACAAGTGCGCGTGCGCGCACACACACACGCACACATACACGCACAGCACCAGTTTGGAACCCACATCTGGTCAAACACATCAAGAAATTAGAGAAAGTGCAAAGGTTTGCAACAAAGCTAGTTCCAGAACTAAGGGGAATGTCCTATGAAGAAAGGTTAGGGAAATCGGTCTGACAACACTGGAGGGCAGGAGGGTCAGGGGAGACATGATAACGACATACAAAATACTGCGTGGAATAGACAAGGTGGACAGAGACAGGATGTTGCAGAGATGTGACACAGAAACAAGGGGTCACAATTGGAAGCTGAAGACTCATCTGAGTCAAAGGGATGTCAAAGGGATGGAGGCAGGAACTATACATAGTTTTAAGACGAGATATGACAAAGCTCATGGAGCAGGGGGAGAGAGGACCTAGTAGCGGTCGGTGAAGAGGCGAGGCCAGGAGCTGAGTCTCGACCCCTGCAACCACAACTAGGCGAGTACACACACACACACAAAAACACTTTCACTATCGTTCACACTATCACTGTCTTTGCAGGTACAACAGGTTAGATGTCACTCTCAACAGCATACAAACATAAAATAGAATATAGATATGTTGATTTTTACAAGAGGAAACAAAATAATAGCATACTGGTAGAAACTTGACAAAGGACAACTAAGAAAATGTCTCCATTAGCAAACTAAATAAAAAATGTTAAATGAGAACCAGATACAAACCACATGTACCCACATTTTCCTTTCCCATTTTCATCCCTGCTAAGACCTACATTAACTAGAAAATAATCCCCCTTCTCTCCTTCATACCCTAACCTAAACCTCATCATATAAAACATTTACAGCTTTTAACAACTTACTGCTCATTCGAAATAGCTGCAACAACAGCACAGTGCTCCCCTGTCTATCCTATCATAGATCTATGACATATCTGTGACCAGTTTTGAGGATTTTCCTATCTTTGAAGTACAGCCTTTGCCTAGGTTTTCTTGATTGCCTATTCAACCAGGCTGTTGCAGTTAGCAACTGCTTAACATTATTTAAATATTGTGAACTTTTATGCTTTAATAGAAACAATCAACCCATTCCCTTTCTCTCTTAAATGCAGTTTATTCCTCTGCACTCTTACTGTCATTTTATCACAAATCTTTCTACAATTTTACTATATGTTAGGGATATTCAACAAATTTATTCCTCTGCAATTCTTATATTCTCATAGTCTTTTCCCTTGTACAAAAGAACTACTCATGCTCTTGGCCAATCCTTAGTTGCCTTCTTTTGTTACTTGCATATGTTAAATATATCCATGAACCACTCAAAAACTGTATTACCACTCTTTTCAGGATGTCTGTTTTAATCCCATCTCTTCCCAATGCCAGCTATCTCTCATTGTCAATTAATATATACATCATAAATATTTTAGTTTTATACTTACCGTATAAACAGCATGAGCAAAGTTGGACATCATTTCTGAAGTGTGGCTAACGAAGGTAGGAATTGTAGTAGCTGCAGGATTGTTGAAGAGAACACTGAAGGCCTCCGCAGATTGAGGAGAGGTTACCGATATTAGTTCAACTGCTACTGTAGGGAGAGACGGAGGCATCCAGGTACCCTCGCTACAACTGCTGTTGTCTTCCTCCTCCTCCTTGCCATCACCACTCTAACACAGGTATATTAGGCATTGTTAACACAGGCCAGGAAATAGTTCTACACAGAGTATTCATTTAACTGTACAGGTCCGCCATCACAAATCTGGCAATCAGACATCCGGTTCCATCAAACAGTAGCGCCACCAAACGGTACCTGCTTGTACTGTTTGGTGGCGCTACTTGCTGCATAAGTCATTCCAATTTCTTTTTCTCCATTTATTGTAAAGCACCTACACAGTACACTGTCCATAAAAGATAAGGTGGCTTTGAAGCTACTGTCGGTTGCCATGAGCTCAGTCTCATGATGCAGGGGAATATGTTTTATTATTATGCTAATATCAACACTACAGTTAATTTACCTATCACAATTGATCTAACATGACATAATAAACAATATAAATAACAAAAACAAGTTAAACACTCCAGAATGAATAATATTTGGCATAATACCGAGCGGTTCGACAGAGTTATGAAGAGGATATGGTAAACAAATACCATTCTCCTATCCTTGACTTGGGGGCTTATATTAGAGAAAATGGAATATAGCACAGGGCTGTGATATACACCCGTAATGCACCATAAAACAAACAAAAAAGGTATTTTCTCTACATAGATTATCATACACAGCACCATATGTGTAGAGAACCTAGGATAGCCCAAGAGAGTCAGATAAAGTGACTTATTTCTAGTACAGTACCTGGCTTGGGCTTGCCATGTATGACTTTTGGTAAATATTTTTTTCTCTCAGTTGTTTGTTGGGCTATCTTATTGAAACTTGAGCAATGTATGATGAAAAGATGCTTCTTAACGTACACCAAAAATGAAAGTAATCGGACCATAAATAACGGAGTTCACTTCTCGGCCATTAGCTGCCCCTTAGCAGAATATTTTCATATGGTTTTTATGGCTGTATTCTCGTTTTTTTTGGTCTCATTTGATAAAATGGAAGATGTTACAGAAATAGATATGATTTTGATTGGTTTCACGATGAAAAGTACCTTGAAATTGAACTCAAAGTAGTGACAATGCTCGATTTTTGCAGATGTTCAATAAACTTTCTTATGCAAGCCAAGTTGGTTAACTTTATTAAGTGTATTTTCTAACCTAACCACTCTGTAATCCAGCAAACTCAATAATCCGGCACACTACAGGTCCTAACAATGCAGGATTTGTGATGGCAGACCTGTACGAGATATTTTTATCCATCTGATTATACTTAACTCTAAAATGATATGGACTGCACTTGCAATGGGGGCATGATGGAAAATGGCAGACTAGGTTATAGGAGGATTCTGAAAAAAAAAATCTCGTTGGTCCTGGGTACAACTGCCCAGCAACTTTGTTTCACACTAGGCATCTTAAATTGGAGAGACCATGTAACAGGAGTAAAAACTATTAAGAAATACATATGACAGTAAAAGTATGTACATACTGAATGTAAGATATACAGTACATAGACAGATAGCATCTTGCAGGTTAATGAGCAAGACAAAACCTGCAATCCTGTCAGAATGCAAAATGTTTAACATGCTTCCATTTCAAACTAACATCACAGAACAGTAACTTCCTGGGTGACTTATCTACCTAATGACATGGTAGCATTAGATGATGAGCTGGAAGATCCTTTTCGAAATTTAGCCAGCTTTTAACAAATAATATATTTGGAGGAAATGGAAAGTTACCCACCACTGTGTAAGACTTATGGCACTAACTCTTTCCTCCACTAAAATAGTAAGAGGCAGAAGAGCTCTGGGAAAGACGAGCAAGGAAAAAAGGGAACATAGGAAGGACTGAAGAAAGAAACAGGAAATTGCTGTGTACTGGGGTAGAGATAACAGAGGGTGCCATGGGCTTGCATTTAGACTGGACAGTAACAGGAATAAGAGGGAAGAGCTCCTGTGTAACTGAATCAATTAGGCAGAATGCAAAGACAAAAGTTATTATGAGCCACAAACATTTTGTGGCTGATTAGGAGTAGTAAGCTGGGTGGCCATATTGCCAGCAATATCAACACTATAGTGGCATGGATTACAGATTATTAATCACAATTACTGTTCCATTAATGGGAGGGAGTGATAAAGATAATTTTAGCTTAAGTGTTTGCATAACAATAGCAACCATGGGGAAGTCTAATGAATATTTCCATGTGGGAGACGGGCAGAATTTGAAGCTCAAAATAACTCATATCTACCACAATCTCTTCAACATATAGTATTGTTTGAGAGAGACTACTTGAGAAAAGCTTCAGCTGGGCATGCCAACTGACACTGATGAATGCACTAGTTATTGTCTATACACAGTTAGGATCGAGCATCAACATAAGAGGTCTCCTGTATGTGCACATTGCAAACTTTACTGCAGAATTTACACGATTCCATAGCCTAACTGACGAAAGTGTAAGAGCAAGTTTTTTTTTTATCATACAACTGCAGCTGTACTTGGCAAGCATAAAAATTTAATTCATGTCTCACAGTTGAAGTTAGGTCATTAAGTCGTTAATGGAAGCACAGCTCATCAACACAAGTTGTCTGGGTAAATGTGAAGAGGAAAAATTGGACTGACAGATTGTCATGGTCTTGGGAAATGGCAGGATAAAGGGGAAGCAGCTATCTGAGATACTAAAGAAGACAACTTGCAAACTTGATCACTAGTCTTACATTTCTGGTAGTAGCACACAAATCCATATAATGTAGTATTCACCACCAAATGGACCCAGCAGCAGAGGATCATTCTCTGCTGAGAGGCAACAGGACTAGGCATGGGCTGATAAAGGTAGGTCCCTGCAGCCCCAGGAGATTCTCTATATAGAAATCCCCTAGTGATTCGAATGTTTGCCTCTCACTGGTGCAAAACATCTTTCAACATACTCGGCTGAAACTTTCAGCTATCTAATGGACAAAGAATGCAAAGGCAACCTTTCTGATAGGTGGAGGTAAGACTTGTGCACAAGTCCTATATTGGTGACTGATTAGTTTTGGCCCTCATCTTTTGAGTCATGGAAACAAACTGCTTCCTCTATCATTATTACAAAAACAAATGAAAACAAATTCAAGTCATTACAGAGCCAAAATTATGGGGAACAAAGGAAGAATAATTATGGGGCACAAAGGAAGAATAATTATGGGACACAAAGGAAGAATAATTGTGACAATACACAGGGAAACTGTTATCCTAGCTGATTGAAGCAACAGTGTGGGGTAAAGATTTGGAAACTAGGTAGAAATGACTAACATCAATGCCATGGATAGTTTTAAGTAACCAAAACACTACAGATCAACTATCACAGATAAAATTACCCCAAAACTTGGCCCCTGAAGCACAAACAGAATAATGCCAGGCTAAGCTCGGAGATAAAGGTAGTAAGAAAACTGGACATGCTTAAAACAAACTTTACCCTATATGCACCCCCCCAGTCTTGAGTATGCAAGCACTTGCATTACATGGAACCTTCACAAGCAAAACACTAAATGAAACTCAGTTTCAAGAAATTCATTTAAATTGATGCCTATTTCACACAAGTCTGTTGAAAGTTAAGAAACAGAACAAAGAGCCTCATGAACGCTGCCTGCAAATTCAAAAAGATACAGTAATTATAAATAGGTAAAAAAAAGTTTGATGCTTTAGGGGTCATTAAATAAAGAAATCTGAAAGACATTTTCATTCCACTCATAAGCCACCCAGTCTATTTCTTTGTAATTAAAAATCTTGATCCTGCCTTGACCTGCAACTGATATTACCATATTCATAATACGTAACCCAAAATTTATCAAATTCCTTTCTGCTCCAATTATTTACTGCTGGATTATGTACAGTACAACCAAATGTGATTTTTCCCACTTTGGGTCAGGATTTTCATCTTTAAAACTGCAACATTATTTGCACTTTACTAAATACCACATTATAATTTCATTCACTTTCAAGGATTTTTTTTTTTTTTACCAATGTTACTCATTTCTAATTCTGTCTGTCACACAGACTAAGTAATTTATTCCAACACTGTCATTCAAAATGATCTTTAACATTTGCATTAACTTACAATGTCTAAGAAATTATTTTAATATATACTGTAAGAAATATTTCAAAACTATTATTTTTGTATTAGCCCAAATACATCTGTAAAGTATACAAAACATTTAAAATATAAAATGAGGGATTGATTCTGTTTCATTATTTATCAAGCAGTCTGAGACTCCACTTCAGCTCTTTTCAAAACGAACAAGGTTTCTGAAACATTTAACTCTTTTAACGAACTGAATGATAACTTTACCCTTTCAGGGTCCAAAGGCCAAATTTCAAAGTGCACACCAGTGTCCAAGAATTTTCAAAAAATAATTTTATCATTTTTTCTTATGAAATGGTAGAGAATCTTTTTCTGAAGGTAATAAAACAAAAAGTACGAAATTTGATGGAAAATTGACAAAATTATGCTCTTGCAATTTTGATGTGTCAGCGATATTTATGCATCGTCGATTTTGCCGACTTTGACTCCCATTTTAGGCCAATTATATTACTCCAGTCGACCAAATTCTTAGCTATTTCACTAGTATTACTTCTATTCTATCGATTGAGCACAAGAAATTGCCATCTCAACTGTTTCAACTACAAAATAGGTAATTTGGCCAATTTAATGCAAAGTTCAAAATATTCTAATTTCAAAATAGGGTCCAGAATAAACAATGCAGGCATCCCTGGAACTAAACTAACATTTCCTCTGTTCATTAGTTACATTTTGAGGCTTTACAAATGAATTCCATTTTGATTTTTTATTCACATAATGAATTTTTATTCAAACCAAAAAATAGAAGATTTACTGTTATGCAATACTGTAATAATTGTATAAATAATATCACCACATTTGTGAACATATATTAGACCACCACCAGCTGGCGTGTATTAGACGTGTGGGATCATTTGTTTACTCTTGAACACTGGCAAAAATTTAACATTTCCGCTACTTTGAGCTCAGTTTCAACCCATTTTCATTACTAAAACCAATCAAAATCATCTATATTTCTGTAATATATCTTCCATTCTATCAAATGAGACCAAGAAATCGCAAATACAACTATGAAAAAACACTGCAAGTCGCTGTTTTAATCGAAAATTACGGTCTCAGTTTTTTTTTCTCCATTATGCACTATGTGCTGTAGGATTCGTTTTATGTGGTGCACACATACCACATAGATGTATTCTCTCATGTCTAGGCCCAAATTTACCACTCACAGCTTATCAGAGTGAGCTGAGCTCATGGCGTAGAGCTACGGTGTGGACCCTCAACGTATAGCCATAGATCTACAGCAAAGACCCTCAAAGGGGTTAAATCTTACTCTCATCTTCCTCAGGTCTTTTTCTAAAGATATTTTTGTCTTTATACTTCCATGAGAACCGTACCTTGCTTTCCTTAATTTGCATCCACAAATGCGACTTTTGAAGTCTGGTCTTTCCCCATCTTATATTTACGAACATTTCTGTAGTCAGCAACATGTTCAAACTGGATTAAAAAAATATTGCATTCTTAATAATAATAATAATAATAATAATTAATAATAATAATAATAATAATTTATTTTTACAAGTATACAATGTATATAGGCCTAGATGACATCAGTGACATACTACTATACAGAAAGCCCCTTGTTATTACCTGGAGTTTACCTGGAGAGAGTTCCGGGGGTCAACGCCCCCGCGGCCCGGTCTGTGACCAGGCCTCCTTAGGTCAGTGTCCCAGGATGCGACCCACACCAGTCGACTAACACCCAGGTACCCATTTTACTGATGGGGAACATAGACAACAGGTGGAAAGAAACACGTCCAATGTTTCTACTCTGGCTGGGAATCGAACCCAGGCCCTCACCGTGTGAAGCGAGAGCGTTAACCACCAGGCCACCAGAACATTTCGGGCAAATTTGGTCAAGTTTGTTGCCAGGATGCGACCTACACCAGTCGACTAACACCCAGGTGCCAATTTTACCGAGAGGTGAAAATGGAAACACATCCTAATGTTTCCACCTGAACCAGGAATTGAACCATGGACCTCAGTGAGAGCTGAGTGCACTAGCAATCGAGGAGAGGGAGGGGGAGTTAAAGTTTATAATTATAGGTAACCATTATTTTGAATAAATTTTAGTTATGTAGTTAGTTATGACACAAAACCAAATTTTCACACTAGAAATTGGAGCATCTATATTTAATTGTCGTACCTGGGCAAGGGACGAAGGAGAGTCATCAGGGAACCCATGGTTATTTGCTACTGTTAGAGTACTTTTCTTTTTTTTAACCTCTACACTCAAGTTAGCATTTATATGAATTATGTTAGTTACTATACGTTTTCCAGTTTCTGCAATCTGAAATCATAATTCTCGCCTATCTAATTAAAAAATATTTTTCACGTACAAAGTATATCCCAATTTTTTGCAATTACTTTGCTTAGGACTACCTATTTTTATATATATGCATGCACAAGAACACACACACACAAACAAACATACATACACACATGCATACAGGTATAAATTAGAGAATGAACAATGTGCAAGAGTGAGGTGTAGGAGAATGCCTTTAATATTTTTCTAAATTTTGAAATCAAAGTTCTTTTGACGTCATTCAATAAAAAAATGCTATGATTTTAGTAAATGCATAAATACAGACCAATTATGTTTTTAGTATTTAATATACTAGGAAGCTGTGGAAAAATATTTTGCTAGAGGCATTCATAAGCAAGAAAAACTGGCAAAACCCCTTGACAACAGTTTTTTTATTATTTCAACATGCATAGACTAACACTACTTTTGAGTGAGAAATAAATGTAGGTAAATATATTAAGTACCTTCTTGTGTCTCTTGTAGAGTGGCAGTTTGGACCAGCGTGGCGGCCTACCTCTCTGCCCCCCTTCCCCTGGTATCTGCCTCAGTAATGCGGCTGTCCCCACATTTGCGGAAACCCCTCCACCAACAACTAAAATGGAGGTACTACCCCCAGCACCCATGGGGTTGGCTATTGCTGGCACACTGACAGTACCATGGGCAACCACTGCACCAGATGTTGGCACTGCACCTAGCAGTGGAGCCGTTTCCATCTGCCCGTCATGTTGATTACCTTCCTCATCAGGCCGTGTTCCAGATACCACAACAGTCTGCACACCATGCAAAACACAATTAACACTCAGAATACAATCAACGAACATTCCACCCTTGACCATAAAATCTGAGGCTCCTCCACACTCTTGAATAAAAGCTGATCCATAATTAATAAAGATTACTGATACACTAATGAATGAGTGTGCAGGCTACAGTTTTCAAGGCCTTTTCATTCCTGTTTTGCTTGGATGTGCAGGTTATTTGTTAATGCTAATATTAGTGCACACTTAAATTTGTTTAAACTGGGCACTCAAAACTCAATAAAAAATAGAACAAGAAGCTTTTAGATGCACATTCATTCTTGAAATCCCAAAATAAAGTAGACATTTCAATGCAATGATTAACATGTGGGCCAAGAGTGTCCAACCCTGCAAGATTCTAAAACTTCAACTATCATAATTAAACAGATTACAGCATTTGATAATTATCTACAATTTAAAATTATATATGAGCTTCAGTATTTATCTATTCAGCATTTTAAATTTATAACCCTCAATAACTTTTAAACAATTGCCAATATTGTTCATTATAATTATGGAAAATTAGCAGAATCTGAAGAACGATGTCAACTATTAATAATCAACTAGATGTGTGTCAGTCACATAAGAATAAATGTAGGAGGTAGCTCCAGTTTACCCTAGTGAATCTAAAAATACAGACTTGTTCTAGCTGCCCCATTGACAAATGTATCAAAAGCAACCATAGTGGCATCTCTCTCACACCACCAAATTCCACACTCATCATGCACACCCTTATTTTTTCTGTTTCCAACTCTAAAGAAATGATTCACAGCTTGAAACTGGTCCTTCCTTACAGAGAACTAGGCAAGTACAACTAGAGCTTACTGGATGGAGAACAGTATCCAGTTACCACCACTTCTTGCATTGAATGACTTGCATATGTTGACCACTTCACTTACTGTATACAGGGCAGTCTAATAATAAAAATACTGTCATATACTAATAATAATCCTTCTACTAACTGCATTCCTTTTATTTTATTTTTTAATTCTGTCTAGTACAACCTAACAACACCCTAGCTTCACATGCTGACCCAATCCACTATTCTTTCTAAAATTGTTAAATTCTACTTTATATAATACTTCTTATTAACCCTTTGACTGTTTCGGTCGTATATATACATCTTACGAGCCACCGTGTTTGACGTTCATATACTCAAAAATTCTAGCGGCTTCAAATCGAGCAGGAGAAAGCTGGTAGGCCCACATGTGAGAGAATGGGTCTGTGTGGTCAGTGTGCACCATATAAAAAATCCTACAGCACACAGTGCATAATGAGAAAAAAAAAAACTCCGACCATGTTTTGGGATTAAAATGCAGACTTTGGGGTGTATTTTCATATAGTATTTATGGTTCTATTCTAGTTTTCTTGGTCTCATTTGATAGAATGGCAAATGTATTATAGCAATAGAGGTGATATTGATTGGTTTTTCTAGGAAAAGAACCTTGAAATGGAACTCAAAGTAGGGGAAATGTTTGATTTTTGCCACTGTTCAAAAGTAAACAAATGATGTCATTGTCCAATAAATGTCCAACTAGCCATTCTAATATGCAGTCATGAATGGGTTGACATTATTTATACAATTACTACAATATTGCAGTAGTCTGCATAACAATAAATCTTTTATTTTTTGTTTGAATAAAAATTCAAAATAGAAAGCAAGAGTAATATCAGAGGGGCCCGGAGATGTGACTGATGAACAAAGAAAATGTTATTTTAGAGCCAGGAATGCCTGCATTGTTCATTCTGGACCTATTTTGAAATTGGCATATTTTTTAATTTACGCGAAATTGGCCAAATTGCAAATTTCTGACCACGTTATTGGGTAGCTGAAACCGGTAAATGGGCAGTTTCTTGTACTCAATTGATAGAACAAATGGAGTTCTAAAGAAATGGCTATGAGTTTGGTCGACTGGAACAATGGAATTAGCCAAAAATAGGGCTCAAAGTGGGCGATATCGCCGATTCGTATATATCACCAAGGTCGCTAACTTCATGAGAGCGTAATTCCATAAGTTTACCATCAAATTTCATTCTTTTGGCATCATTACCATCAGGAAAAGATTCTCTATCATTTCATAAGAATTTTTTTTTTTCAAAAATATTTCGACACCAGGAGACGCCTCAGGATTTGGGGTTGCAACAATCAAAGGGTTAAAGTTGGCACACCTCATTTCCTGCATTCTCTGATGCTAGTCTGTATTTCAACAATTTTCAATTATTTACATAAAACAAATGGCTACCTGTCTTAGCATGGAGAAATGTGTCTTTCTGCATCTGGTATGTGTGTGTGTGTATTCGATGTTTTGCATTTTTTGTGTATAATTTTGTATGTTTCTATTTGCACAATTGCACAATTTTTTCCATTCAACAATCTTTCCCATCCCAACTAATTAAAATAACAAACATACAATATATACAGGTATTAGTAAAACCTCTTTTTAGTGGATTTTGGACTTATTGGACAAAATCTGTGGTCAACAACATTCAGAAACAAAGTTAATCAAGCCAAGAATTGTCCATTATTCTTACAATCCATTATGTAAACTGATATTTGTCTTGTTGTTTTTGATCGTGAAAAATCAATCTCATCATTCAGATTTAACAAATAATTGGCATTAATGGACACTCCTCCCCCTATTAGTCAATTATATCACATAATTTTTTTTTTTAACACAGTGGCTGTCTCCCACCAAGGTAGGGTGACCTGAAAAAGAAAATCTTTCACAATCATTCATTCCATCACTGTCTTGCCAGAGGTGCACCAATGCTAAAGTTCATATGTCCCTTCAAACTGTAAATATCTCCATCCCTCAATGAGAGTGCAGGCACTGTACTTTCCACCTCCAGAACTTGAGGTTGGCTAAACGGTTATCCTGAACTCCTTCACAAAATGTTACCATGCTCACACTCCAACAGCTTTATCAAATCCCAAAAACTATTTGCCTCTACTCACTTCTAACATGTTCACACACAATTACTATTACGATTTTTATTAGCATATTGTTTATTTTTGTATTACCGTTAATGATATTCAAACCTCTAAGCTAAGGTTTTGTATATGTACTAAATGCTACTTTTTTTTCATTATTATTAGTACAATGCACAACAATAATTCTGTATCAAAACTGCAACTCTTGCCCTGCTCCTTTTGTCTCAACACAGAATAGAAAACAAATACTGTGCAAGCAATAATATCAAACTTCTACTTGCCTATTATACATTTCTTATTATGAAAAAAAAAAAAAAAAGGGCATTGTTTATCAAAATACTGTGACAGAGATTTTTACTTCATAGCTGAGTAATAGAGGCTAAATCTCTAGAAAAATTATAGCCACAAAGTAAAATCTGTAATCCAAATGAATTACCAAAGGTGTGTGCACATTGGCATGGTTTCAACCACCAAAGTTGTGAGCATGTCAGCATGGTTTCAAATGCCAAAGTTGTAAGCATGTCTGATTTTTTTCAAAGAAACAATCATGCCAAATCAATTATTCCAGATTATATAAATAACAAAAAAGGCACAATACCGTGACTGGAATGATACACAAATAACCCACACATAGAAGAGAGGAGTTTATGATGACTGGCCCCTCCTCCTCTTACTACCCCCCCCCCCCCCCACTACTACTTCCTTCCACCTCCACTACTACTACTACCACCTCCTGCCTATATATACCCATCCTGCTCTCCTTTTCATTAGTGTGACTTTGTAAATGATCCAAGTTGGACCGAAACATCGTCGTAAGCTCCTCTCTTCCATGTGCAGGTTGTGTGTGTTCACACTGCATTACAAAATAATGATGTAATGGCATATTTTTCTCATGGTAATATACTGTCCTATAAAAAAAATTGACAGCATACTGCAGTATCTATCGTATTAACAATAAAATTCTCCCCTCAAGTGTAAAATACAGCTTTTATTCACAGTATCAACACTACACACATAAAATAATATGCACATAAGTTTGCTTAGTGTCCTGTAAAAATGAGTAGAATAAATGGAAGTAGCATATAAAAAGTTTTCATCAATAACCTAATGTTTGAATATAACTCTCCCTCTTCCTTGTGACATAACATAACACTAGTTGAAGTGTTGCAAATTATCACTGGCAACTTGATGGCTTTAATATTTAAGATTAATAATCCATACATTTCACTAACAGATGTCAGCTCTAGAGTTAATAATAAAAATACAACCATGAAATACAATTAGTTTTAGTTGCAGTCACTATTTCTACTTGGTAAATACACAATGGAACCTCTACTTGCGAGTTTAACCCTTAAATGGTCCAAACGTATATATACGTTCACTCGCGTAGCGCCCCAAATTTTTTGAGGAAAAAAGAAATCTTTTCTTTTAAAAGGAAAAAAGAGCATATGGTACCCAGGCATCCCCAATTATTTTAATATGGAACACAGTGAGTGCACACACCCATTCTCTCATGTCTAGGTGACTCAGGCTTATTGTGGCAATGTTGAATGAATGACAAAGAAAACGTATATATACGTTTGGGGCGCTACGCGCGTGAACGTACATATACGTTTGGACCGTTTAAGGGTTAATCTGTTCAATGACCTTGCTCGGAACTGGATTTGCTCGTTTGCAGGGTCAACTTTCCTCATTTAAATTAACTGAAATGCAATTAATCTGTTCCAGTGGGATTCTGTGCTTCAATAATTTCGCTAATATCAACTCTACGGCTTAATTATTTGTTTTCTCTTGAACATAGCCAAAAGAATCAAATATTTCTCCAGTGTTGAGCTCAATTTCAAGGTACTTTTATCGTGAAAGCAATCAAAACCATATCTATTTCTGTAATATATCTTCCATTCTATCAAATGAGACCAAAAAATGAGAATACAACCATAAAAACCATACGAAGATACTGCTAAGGGGTGGCTAATTACCGAGACGTGAACTCCATTATTTATGCTTAGATTTCTTTCATTTTTGGTGTATGTTAGGAAACATC